TTTCGTTTTAATTAAAGATAGAGTAGGAGAGAGAAAAGCAAATGGGCCAGGTTCCACACACTGTTACACCACTCAGTAGCAATAAAAGGGGAAGTTGATTTTGAGAAATGGGGTTTCCTTAAGTGGGTATATTACCACTTTTTAAGTGGGGTTGATGAAGGATTAGAGGGTCTGGGGTCATGAAGAAACTAGCACACTATCCAGTAGATGACAGGCACTTGAAAATGCATCAGCTTTACTTGTGAACTATCTAGAGTGGGAAAGCTCTTTAAGGTCCTTGAACCCATTTTGTCCCATCTTCTTAGATGTGGGACATCTATAAAAACTTAAATTGAGCAACAAATATATCATTTATGGCAACTTTGAAATAATTTTTGTTTGCAGAATTGACAACCTTGGGAATTAAACTTACTGGTTCAACTCACCTGTACAGTCATTCTTTGAATAATGCACTATTAAAAAATACATAGTTTATGTATTTTGAAATTAATGAGGTACCTGAAATTTCAAAGTACTAAGTAGGTTTAATATTTTATACATTTATTAAGCTTTCAGTTACATATGTTTCTCATAAAAATAAAGAAGTCAACTGGTCTGTTATATTATAGTAAAACAACCTAGAGTCAATACTATATATATAACATACACATGTGTATATGTGTGTGCCTGTGTATTCACAGTAGAAACTATGGTAAATATAGATCCATAAATCTTTGAAATTAGATATTAAAAACCATTAATTATAAAAAAATATTGATTCATATTTTAATTGATAATGTAAATTACAGAAGATAATATTTATCAGTTGCACAAAGAAGAGTTATATGGTTACCATGCATTCCAGAGGTAAAGACATATTTTCCTGTGAATTAACTGCTCATCATTTCACTAGATTTTGCCACCAGGGAATAATGAGACAGTTAGGAAAAAAAAAAGGAAAAAGAAGGGGAAATTTGGTTGTAATTACGATGATATAGAGCAAAAGAACATTTCTATCTTAGATATAAATCTGTGTAGCTTTAAGCATGAGCTGCATAGAAATTCATGAAAATAGGTAAGCATGAGAGCAGGGGACTTTTCTTGTTGTTTTTACTAAAATGCATAGGTTTGACTATTTCAAAGTCAGACTACAAAATGATGCACATGTTAACCACTGGAGTGCTTTTATGGATATTATCTTATGAAATTTTACAACAATGCTGTAAAGGTGTGTTGCTCATCCAGACATGTCTTTCACATGATAAAATTAAACCCTGGAGGTGTTAAGTGGTGTAGTTAGAACTGAATAGTTGTTTCTGTCTCAAAATTCATGGTATTGAACAAGCTTTCTAAGGAAGTCCTTCTAGAGCCAGAGGAGGTCTGGGAGAATTTACAAGTTGTGATGTGGCCATAGAAAGATTCTGGGGTTTCTTCTCTGCCCCATCTGTTTCTGGAAGAAGGATCATATGTAAATATGAGGGAAGCCAATGTCATAATCCAGCCAGAGACCTAGTATGAGTTATCTTGGCTGGAGCTGAGATCTCTAACCTATAGGCATGTCACAAATGTACCAAAACACTGAGCAGAAACTACATTTAAAAATAAATTTCAGCATTATTTTCAAAATCCTTTCCCTATTTTAGAGAGGAAAGGTCTTAGATTGCACATTTCTGTCTCCTTCACTTTCCTTCCTACTTTGCAAGAGGTGCTAGGCTTTTTCTGCTATGAATTTGGCTGAGAACTCTAGGTAGTTTAGTTAAGCTCTGTAATTATCCCTGAAGTCTCAGACAATGCCTGGCACAGAGAAGATGCTGAAGTGTGGAATGGATGAATGAATGAAAGGCAAGTATGATTCTGAAAATCCTGCAGGGAACAAAACAAATCTGATCCAGAGTCCACAGTGGAGGGGAGAGAGAGAGAGACTAAGTAGATTAGGGGGATATAGTCTAGGGAGACCCCCAAGGGCAACAGTACACAGAAGCACTATTCCTTTTTGACGTGATACAGCAGCAACCTAGGGTTGAGGGACAGGATGCATGGCTATTAACACTGAGACTCCAGAATGCCAAAGTCCTATTCCC